CATGTTCTGAATCCTAAATTGATATCTCAAAAATCGAGTGTTCTATGATTTTTTGAAGAAATGTCCGCTGGAGCAGATTTTTCTAGAAAAATTCGAATAACTCGAGAACGGCCGAATCAAATTGCAAAAAGTAAAGTTATTTATAAACCTTCAAAACAGACAAATCCAAATATGTAAAAATATACAGGGTGTTCCATTTAAAAAAATAAAGTAGGTGACGACTTCCGTTATAACCGGAAGTGCTAGAAATCTGAAAATATTTTAGGCGAAGAGAACGTAATTGATAATCCTTAAGTCTGAATTATCAAATTTTTATTTGGGCCAGAACCCCAGAAACGTCTAATGACCGGTCTCACTGAGATACCCTGTATACTATGTAGAACTAACACATAGTGATATTATCGTTATCATGTTAAAATGTTAATTGATATCTCAAATTGTCTACATCTTTGTATTTCATAATGATATCTACGCATTTTATTAATTTTATTACAAGGTTTCTTAATGAGCACCTAGCTATGCAAGTGCCAATTTAGAACTGGAAGGGAATTTTCTGTACCATTGTATAAGCAAGAAATGTCAAATGTTACCTCAACTTTAAAGACCATTTAGATTTAATTTATGGGAATTAGAAAACATTTTATATAGCGAATTCAAAAAGGAAATGTTAAGATGAAATGCTAGTTTATAAATATTCATGAACTTCTAAAAATTACTGTTAATTTTTTTTAATTTTAAAGAAGTTAATTTACAAACGTTTCTGTATAATTATTACAAATGACATGAATACGAGACAAAAAGGCGAAAGAAAAACGATGAATATCGCTTTTAAAATTGCTATGTAAGTAATTTTACAACAATTATTGTTTTAATACCACGAACAAGACAGCTTTTCAAGCAAAAGTTAAATATAATGCACATAATTACGTATATAAATAGTGTGAATCATCGAGTTGATTCATAAAAAAGTACTGGACTTGGAATTTCGACGTTAATTGAACCTATCTCGGCTTTTAAAACCTTCCGGCTCGATGTTTATGGTTTTTGCCTTTCTCTTTAAACCGAGTTTGAGCGAACAAAACACAAGAATGACGACGGTTGAGACACCTTGAAGTCCGTTAAGTATTTAAAGGTGATTTAACGTTCTGACGTTGTCTAGAGACTATAGAGAATCGATTTTAAATGATGAATCATTTACCAAGAATTTATACCAAATCACTATTAAGATTGTTTTTGGGAAACATCTTAATTACCTCTAATTATTTTTTATCTTAACTTTTAAAAAATATATTTGCGAACATAATAAAATAAAACTTTGAAAACGGTTACAGCAAATGTTTAAATAGTACTCTAAATCACATTTTAGAAAGATTATCGAAAGCTTATCAAATCTAGTTAATTAGACCAACCCTCATAGACGTGCGGTTTTATCGCATTGCTCACTCATCTGTACACATAAGCACGTGTAAACAGTAATGTTTACATTCGCATTTACTAATATGTTGATATGATTCTTTTTAAATCAACATTGCATGAATTTAGGACTTTGCAATGTTTGATAAGTGCATTCAACTAATAATATTTAATATTTTTAAGGTGTTGAGTTGAACGAATAGTAAAAGGAGGAATAAATGAAAGAAGCCGACTATAGAGGGAAATTTAATCCATTAAGATAGATTTTTTTTGCTCACTTGTCCACTATAACCGAGCGAATTAGTGCGTAAATTGGTGAGTAAATGAACTTTAATTGAATCATCTTTAATCTTCTTAGGTCGTGATCCTTTAAGGTAGTACAATTTTAAGTCTATAGTAATTTTTACTTGTATACATTCACTCATCATATCACTAAAATTTTAAGATTCGAAAAAATGATCTTTAATATATTAAATACCAAATAAATTTGCTTCAAATTGCTTTTTATTTCATAATGATATTTCAAGTAGTTTTTGAGATATGTAAAGGTTAATTACCCTAATATTTATGTTTAAAATTATGCAAGGTTGTATTGAAAAACTCATAACTTCAAAATTTGAAGATTCCAAGAAATGATATTCAACATATTAAATATTAAATAAATTTGCTTTAAATTGCTTTTTATTTCATAATGATATCTCAATTAGTTTTTGAGATACTCAAAGATTACGTAAAGGATGCGAAATTTATCTTGCATAAAAAGTGAATTATGGAAAGTTAATAGAGAAATTTTATAAGAATTAATTTTGATTTTCGATATTGATGTAGGTTTTAAGTGGTTCAATGCTATCAGTATTTTCACCTAGATAAAAATAAAACAAAACCCAACCAAATCGCTCTAAATAGATAACGAAACATCCCAACAATAAACCTTTCATTCAGATTTTAGATTAAGATAGGATTCAAAGAATTTTATTGTCATTTATTTATTTCGTTTTTCCATTTTAGGTTATTTCGATACGTTACTTTTCCATTTTACCAGCTTGTACCGGAAAAGGATGTCGTTGTTGAGAGACATGGTTTGAATTTTTAAAGCATTCGGATTCCACTCTCCCAACTCTTTGTCAATTCAAATTCTAACTGAATAATCAATTAAAAAGAAATCAAATAAAATATCGTTTTGATTTTATCTTATAACCACATATTGACTAACATGAAAAATCAACTCTTTATCTCCACCAAATATTAACCTAACAACCTGCACTTGACTTCCAGCTCTGATCTAAAAACCTCAAAATCCAACAAACACAAAAAATGGGTTATAATACACAATCTAACCTAAAAACTCAATTCAGTTGTAATCAGAACAAATATTGTAATCAATTCTTGCGGCACCTGCTTAATTCACATTCGCGGGTTTAGTGATAATGATAAAAAACTTTTGTTGGTTTTATCAGGTGAATCATCGAATAAACATGCGTGAATAAAGGTTTTAATTAATAACAGCGGTTTGTTGCATAAAGAAAAATAATAAAAAAGATACTAGGATTATAAGTTTGAAGACTTACCACAGCGTTTAAAACTCCAAGAACTGTTATTCCCGTTTGAGGTTCAAATCTAACTTCAACTCCTGCCTCTATCACCAAACGAGCATTTTTTTCAACAATCAAATCACTTCGCACCAAATACGGACTTTTTTCTTTTGTAAAATACAATGTGTCTTCTAATAATGTCCCTCCAGGGTGTTCTGTTAAAATTGGACGATTTTCCCCATTATCTGGGTAAGATTCATGATTTTTCTCATCGTTCTCTACATGATTTGATCCTGAATAAAATCCTTGATGAGCTCCTGGATAATTTTCAGGGTCATTTTGTGGATAATTATCTGGCTGATTTTGTGGATAATTATTTGGATAATTTTGTGGATAATTATCTGGATGATTTTGCGGATAATTTTCTGGATAATTTCTATGTGGGTCCGATTGAACATCGAATTTTTGATTTTCTAACACATTTTCTGAACTCCATTGCGATCTTCCAGGAACGAATAATAAAATTGAGAGAAAAAAAGTCACCGAAACGTACATTTTCTTTTAACAGATCACCATATCACCAAACCAAAAAAATATTTCTATCCCCACTTAGGATTCTCCTTTAAAATTTTCAAAAATCGCCACTAACACTCAAAAATGGCGCACTAATTTCTAAAATTCACCAAGTTTACCACGAAAAATCACTAAAATCGTGCAAAAAATACGAAAATGCGAAGAAAATACGTTTGCGATCGTTGAAAACTGCCGTCTACTGGTCGGTTCGGAGGCGCGGCTTTGCTTCTTTTTACGTAAAAAATAATTCTCCGAGCGGTCACGTGACTTCCCCACCTTTGCCGTTCAGGTAGAAATGGTTTACAGGTAGGAACAGGTGTAAATGTTTCGGTTGTTGGCCGATAGGTACCGGCGTTGCTCAGCAGTTTCTGTTAAAATGAAGTCAACTGTAACTGACGAACAAGTGAGCAAAACAAGGATTGGGAAGAGGTACGGAGTGGGGATTGCATGAGGGGGGAAATGGAAAATTGAGTTTATTTTAGAATTCATTCAGTTTAAGTGCAAATGAGTTATTTAGAAGTACCTGCACGAGATAATGATTAAGTAAGTAGTAATGAAATATTAATTTTTTCATTTTTCCTAAAATTACTTATTGTTAGAGTGAATGTCGATATAAATACACGTAAATTGAGTAATGTTCATTAACTGATGATTAATATATCATAAATTGATGATCTAATATATTTGGGGCATGTAATGTGCAGAATTTATTGTTGTTTGGAAATGATTTTAGTTTTTTTAACTTATTATACTATATCTATTTCGCTAAATTTTCGATTAACTTCTTTACTTGGAAGAATAACTGGTAATAACTTTATTTAATAACATAGCATAAAACTTATAATACTTGAATCACTTTTTGTCTTTCTTTGTCCGCTTCGCTCATCTATCGACCTTCATTTTATCGACATGGTCTCGATCTTGTGAATCTAATAATTATCTTATTTCTACACCTCATTCTCATGATATGTCCTATATATAACGGTTTTCTTCGCTTAACCGTTATAATTACTTCTTTCTCCTATATAGGGACTATAGACAACATATTTTTACTGAGACATCTGCTGAATAGGGAATTAGATAAAAAGGGGGATTGTGTGCACTATTCACAGATCTAAAAGGGGGATTTGATACGGTATATAAGGAGAAATGGTGAAGGTGAATTAGGGAGTATTTAATAGAGAGGATGGAAGATATTCAACTGGAGGTGTGAGGCAGGGATATACATTAAGGTCGGATTTGAATCTAGAAGAGAGATTGAAGAGAAAACGAAACGAGGCAGTAATGGTGATGGATGAAAAGATACATTTGTTATCATAGTCAGATGACCTGGTGGTGGTGGTGCCAAGAGACGCTACAGAGTTGAGGAGGATGATGAGGTCAATGGAGGGAAACGGAAAAGGTAGAAATGGGAATGATGAAGTGGAGGCAGATAATTAGAAAAACAAGTAAATTATTTGTGAAAGAAAGATTCCTGCAGACGAAAAATAATGTTTGACTTTAAAATTTTTGGAGAGTGTAGTGGGATAGTATAGCCAACAAGAAAGAAGGCTCAGTTGGAAGAGAGAAATACTATATATGGCGGCACTGCGTTGCGAGGTCTCTCGTGTTGTGATTGTATGCGTATATAGGTCCCCATCTGGGAATTTTACAACTTTTAAGGACATTATGGAGCGTGTTCTGGGCACACTTGCGAACCACAAGCATGTTGTGGTCCTGGGTGACTTCAATGTCAGATTTGGTAGCGGAGAGTCAAATGCTATTGAACTGTGTAATATTTTTTCTTCTTTCGGGTTTTCACCATCTATCTCCGGACTCACCAGGGGCAAAAACTGTCTTGACAATATATTTGTTAATTTTGCTGAGGACAGGTTCAAAGCTGGAGTGGTCGTGAATAATATCTCTGATCACCATGGTCAATTTGTCGCTGCTGCAGTATCACTTCCAATTGGAATTGACTACAGTTCTGTAATGTACAGGAGGATTACCGTTGAGGGGAATTTGAGATTCTTTGAATCCTTTCAGGGTTATACTTCGGAATTTCTCTGTGATGACAGTTTCAATTTCAAGGATAGATTTGATTATTTCTTTCATAGATTTCTATCAACTTTTTATATGGCGTATCCTCTAACTAGAAAACGTGTTAGAAATTGTGACGGAGGCGTAAAGTGGTTCAATAATACACTGCGTCAGATGAGACTCAGGTGTGATCTCGCTTCCAATCTTTTCAATCGTTATGGAACTGCTAATCTTAAGGAAATGAGGGATAGAGCAAGGTCGGCGTACCGTAATGGCATCGTTGAGGCTAAACGGAAGGCCGCTGTCGGATACATTAACGCATCGAGCAACAAATCGCGGGCCTCTTGGACTTTGATTAATGGGTGCAGGGTCAGTGTGGACAAGCAGAATGTTGCGGATATGGATCCCGATAATCTAAACAGCTGTTTTGTAAATGTCGCTAATAACAATGTTGCTAAACTCGGCCCGTCTATTGGCCCCCCCTTGCATCTGTGTCGTAGTAACTTTGACAATGTTCCTGTTTTCTCTTTTGTTGAGGTATCAGAGAGTGAAGTTAGAAGTGTTCTACAGTGTTTGAAGACAAACGGAACTAGAGACATATACGGTGTTTCAACGGGGGCTATAAAATGTAACATTAGCCTCATGGTTGCGCCCCTTACCATAATGGTTAACAGCATGATGCGATCACATACTTTCCCGGATCAATTAAAGATAGCTTCCATTGTGCCTATTTTTAAGCATGGGGATAAAAACGATTGTTCGAATTATCGTCCCATTAGCATTCTCCCGATACTGTCCAAAATATTTGAGCGCGTAATCTACAAACAAATAATGGCACACGTGGAATTGTATGATGTGCTTTTCGAGAATCAGTTCGGCTTTCGACCTGGTAGGAGCACCGGGGATGCGATTGTTAATTTTATGAATGTCTATCCCAGTACGTATGAAGATCGGGAGTACTGTGCTGCTCTATTTCTTGATTTGTCTCGTGCTTTTGATAGTGTGTCGCACCATATTCTTCTCCTGAAGCTGAAGTCTGTTTTTCGCTTTGATTTAAATAGTGTTGCTCTTATCGAATCATACCTGTCCGATAGGTTTCAAGTGGTTAAATGTGGAGACAAAGTATCTGGAAAACTTCCAATCTCGAGGGGTGTCCCTTAGGGATCTATTTTGGGGCCCCTTCTGTTCCTCCTGTACTTTAATGATTTTCCTGGTTACCTGGGAGAGGGTGTAAAGTGTTTGTTGTACGCTGATGATGCCACATTGCTTGTCTCCGGGTTAAACTACGAGGAGGTAATGTCTTCCTCAAACAAACTGTTGACTGCTGCGAACGACTGGTGTGTAGCTAATGAACTGTGTTTGAATAAAGACAAAACGGTTCAGACACTTTTCACCCTAAAACGGGACTGTGTGGGTGATTTCCCCCCTGCTAGATTGCTGGGCATAACGGTGAGCTCCAGAGATCTGAAATTTGATATGCATGTGGCTGAAATTGGTAAAAAGATCTCAAGAAACATTTTTCTACTACGTAGACTAGTGAGCTCGGTATCTGTCGAGGTGGCCAAAACAGCGTATTATGCGCTGATACACTCAATGATTGACTATGGTATTATTGCCTGGGGTGGGAGTCCAGCAAGTAATTATGTGTTTGGTTTACAACGCAGAGCTGTGAGAGTGTTGACAAAACTTAGTTATAGGGAAGATTGTCGCCTCGCCTTTGAATCCTTGAATATTCTAACGTTTCCATCATTGTTTATTCTGAAATGTTTGCTGTATATTCATAGTAATGATGTACAGTATAAGACGCACGCCGACGTGCACAGTTACTTTACCAGAAACCGTACCAACATGTGCGTAGATTTTTGTCGGTTGAGTGGAACGCAGAAAGGTCATTTGTATACTGGTCAGATTTTGTATAATAAGTTACCGCAATCTATTAGAGCACGACAACACAAGCAATTTAAAACTGTTATGAAGAATTTCCTGATGACGGGTGCGTTCTACTCAGTCGAGGAGTTTTTAAGGAGTGATATTGTCATTGTATGAATGTATTTTTATTGTATTTTCTTCTCGGCTATTGCGTCTAAGTATACAGGGTGATTCACATAAGAACCAACACAGAGCAGGGGCATGTAGAGTACAATAAATTAAGATGATTTAATGCAATTTATCTCTATACTAAGTTGTACCCCTAAGGAGTTATAGGCCTTGAAAGTTGGGTCTTAAATTTTTAAAACATTCAATATCTTCGTAATACATAAAGCTAGAAAAACCAAATTTGGTATACGTTATGCGTGTACCAAGGGTATTAATTGGTAGTAAATTCAGCTTAATTGAGGCATTTCAAAAGATTGATTAAGGGTGATGGTACCCTAAATTTTGACAGATGTTACTTAAAATAAGCGAAAATTCAGTAGTCGGCTATGAAATTGTACGTTCAACTTGACAAATAGTAAATTTTCTTAATCTGTACTCTTAAACTGGTTTTATTTAATTTTAGCCTGACTAGTTTCGGCCCGTGGCCGTCTTTAGAAAATCTACAATAAGATTAACATTTTTTCAAGTCAACTTTTTAACAAACGAGTTTCTTGAAAATTAATATTAAAGTTAAATTCATAAAAATATAATAAAAAAGATTACTTACATTCCACAAGAAATCACACAAAAGTCATATCATTAAATATTAAGTTTACAAAAGTTATAGTTCCGCAATTATTTAAAATAAAATTAAGGACAAAATTTAGACGTTGACAAGTTAAAATTTAAAAACGTTCTGAATCTAAAAATACAGGTGTCTCACGTAGCTGGTTCGTTAGAACTTGTCTAGGCTCCACAATTCGTACAGTTTTAAAATTTTGGTAGCATGGGTTGTTCATTCGGAGCTTTCGATCTAAAGTTATAAATTGGTACGATTACTGTTCAGATCCTGTCAAATAGATTGTCATTTGTTGTATCAGACTATCTTATACAAGCTGGTCAAAAACTAAATTACTGTTTCTCCATATTCAATGGGGAGAAAGTCGAAAATTTTAAATGGAATGTCCCATATTCTATTAGTTTACCCGAAAGGGAATTTAATTCACTACAAATCATCTATAAACACTCCTATATCTCATTATTATAGTTTCTCTCATATTGGAAAATATATCAAGACATGCAGGAAATGCCAGAAATTGTTTGCATTTTTATTAGAAAGCCATGAAATTTTGAGAGCTTTTCGTTTAATTTATTTCTATTATTATTTATACTATTAACTACGATTGATTTATTTACCAAAAATAACAAACAGAAGATCAAATAAATGAAACAATAAAAGCAAAAAAAACTAAGAAAATCTTTATCAATGTTTTGAAATTTTTCCTTGTAATGGGCGTTAGGCTTGTTAGGTATCTCTCATTAATTGTTCGACACGTCCTGTCCAAAAGTTTATTACATTCGCCATCAATACAAAATAAATTTCAAATATCAGCGTTTAAATAATCTCCCATGATGTTCAATGACTTACACCCGTCGTCAAATGTAACTAATGGCAGCAATAATACAAACATGGACCAAAAACTGTCAAAATTCCATGGTTTTCTAATAAAAAAACCCGCATTTTGTGCATGTTTTGATAAATTTCCCAATATGACGGAAACTACAATAAATAGGTATGGGAATATGGGGCGTTGCATTTAAAATGTTGTGTAATAAAAACTATAGCATTCCATGTAAAATAACGCAGTTATGGTCTGCTTCCGGTAGACCGGAAGTGGCCGCCATCTTAAAAATATTTTAGATCGAAAATTCCGAATAAACAACCCATCCTACCAAAATTTCAAACCTCTACGAATAGTAGAACCTGAAAAGTTCTAACGAACCAGTTACGTGAGACACCTTTATATTAAATAATTTTGCTGGTTTGCACTGATTGCAAATAATTCATAACGTTTCTGTGTTTTCTTTAACAAGTGGTGATATTATTTTTATTTGAACGGTGTACTGTCAGCAATACAATTACATTTTTATACTAATTCAATTATTTTGTTTCTTTGTATTGAACAGAATACACATATAATAGGCAACCCAAATTACACATACACAAAATAATGTTGTGGTATTGTTGTTTTCTTTAAAAGATTTTACCACAATTAAAAACTTTTCGTGTTATACTTTATAAATAAATTATATTTTACAACATATGCATTCTAATTTTAGATACAAGACACGAAACGAAGTATTTATAAAATTGTCAAGTCTATTGTTATTATTATTTTCTTTTGTTTTTTTTAGTAATTCGATCTTTTGAAAATCATACAAAAAATATATCGTAGCACATTTGGATTTTAGGGAGTAGATTTTGTAAAATGTTTTGTCAATTGTAAATAAATTCTAAAGAATCTAAACACCGGGGAATTTGATGAAAGAGAGTAGAGGGATGGAAGAAAGTACACTGTGTTAATTAATTGTCGTAACCAACGTGACACAACAAAATAACCACTACTTTCAACATTAATTTCAATCTATGGGTACACTAAAAATTATTTTACATAAAAGGACAGAAAGTTAGTCTTTTTTTATATTTAAAATATTTTTTTAATAAATATATCAAAATATATTTTAAACGGCTTTTTAAGTTAAGGAATTGTCGCCATTGTTTTTAGGAACTATTGTCGCGTTGCAATACCAATCTGTGATATTGGTTGCATACTTTGTCGGTAATTAATTAACACACTGTATGATTGATGTAAGATGCAATTTAAAAGGTTCACAAAAAATAAAAAGAGAAAACGACACGTACCAAAATTATTAACAAAACTTGTTCAATCACAATAGAAAAGAAACGAAATAAAGAGAAATTTAAAATAAAGAATAGTTTTAACATTATCTACGAAAATTAAGAATTAATTAAAATGATTGATAAAAAAATAAAGTATGAATTTTAAAGAACTAAATTACCTATTTTTTACTTTTTCTTATCCCTTTCATTTTATTTACTTTAATGATACAAATGATTTTTTTTTATTTGTAAAGAAATGTTCTTTTTCCTTTTTTGTCTGTTACAGTAACATTGATGACGATTTGTACAGCAAAGCAGAATCCTATTTTCCTTAGCTATTTCTTTTAAATAATAACTGTCTCTGATGATATTTTCATAATTCAAATTATTTAAACAATCTAGATGAAATTGAGAATTAAAAAAATAAATTAAACTACAATAATTTTTTTTTTAATTCTCAATTTCATTTAAATAATTTTAGTAGACTTTTAAAACAATATTTCAAAAATTTCATATAGCAATTGTATTAAATAAATTTATTTTGTACATATTTTGATCTTGTTGGTAACAGATGTGGCGTTAAATTCACATTTTTTATTGCTTCTGTATTCAAAGAAATCCGGATATTATAAACGTATTAAGTTGGTATTATAGATGACAATTTAAGCAATCAGCGCCATCTATTTGTGAGAAGCGGTGACCATCGCTGTTACCGCCTTAGCAAAAGGAATCCACAATATTGGTAGATCCGGTGGCGATCGGATATCATCATTATCAGTTTTATTTTATACAGGGTGTTCCGGTGACTCGGGGCATAAAATTAACCTCATATACTAGAGCAAAAATGATGACGATTCGTAAAAAAAAATTATTATAAAAGTCTTCAAATGGCTAAGATATGGGCCATCAAAGTTCAGAAATTTTAACACATTTTTCTAAATATTTTCAATACCATTTATGGTAGAGCGTTGAAATTTGGTACAGGGTAAACAAATATCAAGCAAAATCATTGAACCAATTTTGATTTTGATCGGGCGGCGGCAACCATGCTATACAGGTGTCCCTAAAATTTGTTTGCTCATAACTTTTTTGTTCGTTCGTAACCCTACATTTATTTTTGTACTTTTTAATAGAAAATTTATTTTAGAAACTATTATCACTCTTTGAAAATTTTTATAACATTTACCGTTTTCGAGTTATACGCGAAAATGTTAAGCTTTGATTTCAATCGTACCAACCAAAAAATAAAAATCTACAGGTGTAAGACCCGGCGATCGGGGGGCCAACTTATCGGTGCACCTACTCCTAGTCCAATCCACCGTCCCGGAAAACGTTCCCTCAGAAATTCTTGGACAGCTTGTGTGCTATGCGCAGGAGCACCGTTATGCATATAACACATTGCTTGCCTTGTGTTTAAAGGACCGTCATCTAAAAAATCATCTAATTCCTCTAAATGTCGCCTGTATGTATGTCCATCCTTGTCAGCCTTGATGGCAAGAAAACGGGTCCAATAATTACATAGCCCACAATGCCAGCCCAAACGTTAAGAGAAAATCTCCATTGTGATTTCCAAGTTCTTAAATCTTGGATTTTCGTCCGCCCAACTATGTAAATTTCTCAAATTGAAGATTCTATCTTTAGAAAAAGTGGATTCATCTGTAAAAAGCACTTTTTCTTAAAACTGATCATCAATTTGGATTTTGTGCTGCATTATTTNGGATTGGAGTTCAATGTGGTATCTGGATTATGGATTGTCTCTTGTGTTCGGGGCACTAACTAATTTTCTGGATTGTCTACAGGATTCTTCTTATGGGTAATTGCACTGTTTGTTCTTCGGAAATAGGGTCTTGGATGGTCTCGAAAAAGTATCGGTAATTCTCGGAATAGGTTGTAGGATGATTCTCTTTTATTTTAATATTGTAAGTTGGTTTGACTTTTTTTTCAAAAAAATTATCTTAATTTTTCGAGGTTATCTCTTCAAAAATTCTTCTATCTGACGACGTGGATTCGACGCTGGTCCTACGACGACTCTCTCACTCCCTGTTCGCGATCTCCTTATATACCCCGGCACTCCAACTGTTTTTTTTTCGTTTCTGATTGGCTCTTAGCTTCGCGCCCTTTTCAAAATTCAAAATTCTTGCTTCGAAACTAGCGTCATCTCTTGACTTTTCTCGGAATTAACCTTCAAAATTTAATTCTTTTTTCGTTGATTTCTCCCTTATTCCTTTATGAAACGTCATAAAACTTCGTATTTAACGTTGTCTTTTCTTGTTTATAGACATACATTGGAGTACACGCCAAATTTCAACAATGAGTAAAGTTAGAAAAATTCAAATTTAAATCAAGGATTTCTTTCTCAAAATAACGTTAAAACCTCAAAAGATGGATGAAAAATGTGCTTTAGGAGCTGAACTATAATAATTGATACATTTGTAAGTAAACAAAACGGTTTAAGATAAGATTTTCACCAACAAAAAATCTCTGTCACAAATTCTAGGTTATGTTCTCTCGGTGAACTAAGAGAATGTTAAAATTATTACAATATATATATATAGGTGACGTCTTTTGAGGTCGGGGCTAACTGATCGTCTCTTTTCTTATTATGACTCTACCTCACTTATCTACATTTATTCTCTTTTTGAGAATAAACAGTGCGGGATGCAACCCAACATATACAGTTGCCGATTTTATACATATGGTTAGCAATCTGGAGTAGTATAATCAATGGTGGTATAATAAAAGAGCTTTACTGTCTGATAAAAAAAAACATTACCTCTGCAGAGATTAATCAAATACATAATACAAATACATTTTCTGGAAGTGTTAGCCTAAATCAAACTGATAATTAAAAATTGATTACAACGAGGAAGTTCCAGTGGCTGTTATAAAGTTAACGAGAAAGCTTTTTTATGATTTAGAATCATAGATTAAACTTTACTAATCACCTATAAGAATTGATTATAAATTTTTAAACGTATTTAAAATAAAACTTTCCAACGCCCTAGTTCTATATAAACAATATTATTAATTAAAACTTTTGTGATAAAGTCGAATAGAAACCCGAAACGTCTACCATTTGTTGAAGTTCTTTCAAGTTTTCGAAGTGTTTTATAACAGCTCCGAATTTAATTGAGCACTACGTTTAAGTTTCAACTTTATAATTTCTAGTTTTGTAATTTATTATTTTAAACGTTCGATTCGTTTGCGATATTTGCTTTAACCCTAATTAAACCAACAAATTGCACAAGTTCGGTTTACTCAAGTTCTACGTTTAGAAATTCCTTAGATCTAAGTTACTAAATAAACTAATTGAATCTAAGGGAAGGTCAAATACGAACGCACTAACTTCTAAATAGTGTTCACCAAATTCCTCTCTCACATGAAAATTGAGTATTTTCAAGTGATCCTTTTTATCACCCCTTAAAAACCCACTCATTCCCATGAATCCCTTCAGTTCTCATAAATCTTACCCTTGGACCCTATTTCGAGTACATGCACAAGAAGAGTAAATACAGTGTCGCATTCCGGGTTTTCCACTAAACCACCAAAGCCGTTTTACTGGAAACTATGATAATAAACCTGAAATGGTTTTCCTTTTATCTGTACCTAGATGTCTGGTGGATACGTTTGGACACAGCTTTCGAACAAGATATTCAGAATAGTTGGCAATTACCTGGATCAACTGAACACCTGCGATTAGGTGTTATTGGCGCACAATTGTTGGAGATAATCGTTATTTCAACGATGCTGAATTTAAACGATAACATTCAAAATATTTTAAATGAAGATTTCAAAGAATTCGTTTCCGATTTCTTTTTCGATTTGTACTCGTAAAATCAGTAAGGTTCTCTTTTGTGTGTGGAATATTGGTAAAATCATCTCGCGTGTGTACAAAACAGGACGAGGGGAGATTTTATTCGGGCCACCCTCCATTTTAAACGTCGAATCGTGTTTGGTGACTATTTTCGTTTCTGTAACACTTGTTGAACGAAAATTGCGACGTAAATCATTTTGAAAACCGACGTAAATCACGAAAAACAATTGATAGCCGCGGCCTTTTTAATAGTCGAATAACAAACGACCGTTCTAAAACCCATTCAATCAATAGGCTTAATTACGTAATTAATTAATTATGTTTAATGTATTAGAAATAACAGGATTATTTTAAATTAATGCTTAATTTAATATGGTTTTATGTAGTTAATGGATTACGTTAATTTCAAGTGCAAATCCGTCTAACAAAACATTTAATTGAAAATATGTGTATCGTTGTGAGAAAAGGGATGTAAAATCGAAATGCTTTAGGATTGCCGTTGGGCGAGATCCTTTTGTAATCCAAAAGGACTCAAAGTTGTGGGTTTATCTCAATTTTCTAACAACGCTTTCAATTTATCAATAATTCTTTTTTCTTTTTATACTCGAATAGGAACTTTTTTCGGGTTATACATCGACAACAGATGGGTTCTTTGTAAAAGTGTTGAAAAAAACATTAGTGCATAAGTGAAATTCGTATCGGACGGGGATAAGGGATTGAAGTTTTTTTACAACTTTTTCGATTGCTTATTTATTTCTTCGTAAATATAAAATCGATTTTGATACAATTGTGTGCTATATAGCTGGGATTATTATTTTAACAATCTTCTCTTTTTTCATATTCTGTACAAGTACAAGATGTATCATCTGTTCCAAGAGATTTCTGAAAGAAAGAAAATCGATAAAATTAGTAATATATAGCGAATTTTACTTAAAATGCAATATACAAAAATATATTTTCATAGAAACTAGGGCGTACTTACTTACTTTGTGCTACATAATATGGAATATGTCTGAATGTTTCTAGTTCTAGGTCTAATGTTAGTTCTAGTGACAGTGGTAGGTAGCACTAGTTAACATAAAATATCACTATGTTGCATATTTGTATTGAATTAAAACTAGAACTAACACTAGACCTAGAACTAGAATCATTCTGGTTTAGGCGTCTTGAGAGACGTGTGGCTAAATCCGAATAATTCCAGTTTTAGGTCTAGTGTTAGATTTAGTTTTATACAAGCACTATCACTAGAACTAACACAAGACTTAAAACTAGAATCATTCGGGTTTAGCCGTTTTGAGAGACGTGCGGCTAAACCCGAATGTTTCTAGTTCTAGGTCTAGTGTTAGTTCTAATTTTACACCAGCATTATTATTAGAACTAACACAAGACCTAGAACTAGAATCATTCGGGTTTAGCCGTCTTGAGAGACTTGCGGCTAAACTTGAATGTTTCTAGTTCTTGGTCTAGTGTTAGTTCTAGTTTTAGACCAGCACTATTACTAGAACTGACACAAGACCTAGAACTAGAATCATTCGGGTTTAGCCGTCTTGAGAGACGTGCGGCTAAACCCGAATGTTTCTAGTTCTAGGTCTAGTGTTAGTTCTAATTTTACACCAGCATTATTACTAGAACTAACACAAGACCTAGAACAAGAATCATTTGGGTTTAGCCGTCTTGAGAGACTTGCGGCTAAACCCGAATGTTTAAAGTTCTTGGTCTAGTGTTAGTTCTAGTTTTAGACCAGCACTATTACTAGAACTGACACAAGACCTAGAACTAGAATCATTCGGGTTTAGCCGTCTTGAGAGACGTGCGGCTAAATCCGAATGTTTCTAGTTCTTGGTCTAGGTCTAGTGTTAGTTCTAGTTTTGCACTAGCACTATCGGTAGAACTAACACAAGACGCACGTCTTTCAAGGCGGCTAAACCCGAATGATTTTAGTTCTAGGTATTGTGCTAGTTCTAGTGATAATGCTGGTGCAATACTAGAACTAACACTAGACCAAGAACTAGAAACATTCGGATTTAGCCGTACGTCTCAAAAGACGGCTAAACCTCAATGACTTTAGTTCTAGGTCTAATGTTAGTTCTAGTGACAGTGGTAGATAGTGCTAGTTAACATAAGATATTGCTTTGTAGCATATTTGTATTGAATTAAAACTAGAACTAACACTAGACCTAGAACTAGAAAGTATCGGGTTTAGCGGTGCGTCTTCAGACTTCAGAATATTTCTAGTTCTAGGTCTAGTGTTAGTTCTAGTTTTACACTAGCACTATGCCTAAAACTAACAAACTGGCAGAAAATTATCCAAGCGTATTTCAGAATATCGTTTAAAACCTTCGTCCAATGTTTATAAACATACAGAGGAGACAGGTCATGAAATCAACCTCGACTGTGTTCATATTTTATACAAGTGTCCCAAAGATTTTACGCTTTGGAATTTGCAATTTGCTGGAACATTTTGAAATTGAGAAACATAAACGAAAAATTAACACTACATTAATGAACGAGCAAACAGAATTTAAACCCTCCATTTTCCATTCTTAAGATCGGTCAATAATTTTGTTATAAGTTTTTAGATTTGAATCTTTTTGAAATGTTGTATTTTTCCCTGATTTGATTATTTCCCTTTCCATCTTCCTAATGTGCTCCTTTTCCCTCCTCATATAAACTTGTCATTGTTGTGTAGAACGTGTTCCTGTGTGGTTTATTTCTTGTTTTATATTTTGTGATTGAAAGTTAAAGAAAATAATTTAACGTATTCCGATTTATGGGACTTTTCAATTGTAAGAATTTTTAAGTAATAGTTATAATTGTTTCAATTTTTTAACATTATAAAATTTTTAGAGTAAACTGATGTCTATTTGAACAGATGAGTTTGTTGACTTTTTATAGAAATTTTAGGATTTTTTGACTGTAAGTTTTAAGTTTTTTATGTTTTGCTTTTATTTATCTGGTTCTTTTTGTGATTTGTAAATTTTTGTTTAATAGATTTGGCTGAGGATGGTTAATGATTTTAACCGAAACTAGTCCCAAATAAATAAATATAAAATTTTCTCAGAGGAATTTGAGGCCTTGTTTAAATTTTTTTGATTTTTAATAAACCTTTTTAATTAATACTCTCTCTGAATATGGATTTTCTGAAATTTACGAATGTTTCTAGTTCTTGGTCTAGTGTTAGTTCTAGTGACAGTGGTAGGTAGCGCTAGTTAACATAAGATATCGCTTTGTAGCATATTTGTATTGAATTAAAACTAGAACTAACACTAAACCTAGAACTAGAATCATTCGGGTTTAGGCGTCTTGAGAGACGTGCGGCTAAATCCGAATGTTTTAGTTCTTGGTCTAGTGTTAGTTCTAGTTTTCCACTAGCACTATCGCTACAACTAACACAAGACGCACGTTTTTCAAGGCGGCTAAACCCGAATGATTTTAGTTCTAGGTATTGTGCTAGTTCTAGTGATAATGCTGGTGTAATACTAGATCTAACACTAGACCAAGAACTAGAAACATTCCGGTTTAGGCGTCTTGAGAGACGTGTGGCTAAATCCGAATGATTCTAGTTTTAGGTCTAATGTTAGATCTAGTTTTACACCAGCACTATCACTAGAGCTAACACAAGACCAAGAACTAGAAACATTCGGATTTAGCCGCACGTCTCTCAAAACGGCTAAACCCGAATGATTCTAGTTCTAGGTCTTGTGTTAGCTCTAGTGATAGTGCTGGTGTAAAACTAGATCTAACATTAGACCTAAAACTAGAAAGTATCGGATATTTCTAGTTCTAGGTCTAGTGTTAGTTCTAGTATTGTACTAGCACTATCACTAGAACTAACACAACACCTAGAACTAGAATCATTCGGGTTTAGCCGTCTTGAGAGACGTGCGGCTAAATCCGAATGTTTCTAGTTCTAGGTGTAGTGTTAATTCTAGGTTTAAATGTTATTTAGCATTAGATTGT